GGGCGTGCATGCCAGTGTGCTGTCACCTGGCCAAGAAGCAGAACTCACTCACAGGGCAGCGACCCTTGGGGAGCCCTCGTCTCTGCAGAGGCAGCTGCTGTCGTGATCCGCGGCAATCATTGTGTTCTACCTTGGGATGGTGATGTGCTTTAGGAATGCATGAGTTTTGTCTGCTGTTTGACGCCTCTATATATGGAATCATACAGCTCGTAGCTGCGGCATCTGCTTTGTTTTTTGCCTCCTCAGCATTATGTTTGTGAAATACATCTGCGTTGCTGTGTGCCCTGGTTGTTATGTCCCCCACCCCGCCGAGGCTGCGGGGCAGGGAGTGGGCGGGAGGGTAAGCGTCCAGCACTGGGCCTGGGCCCGCCCGTTCGCCAAGCCCCGGAGGGTTTCTGGGAAGGCTGGGCACAGCCAGCATCGGCCCCGGTGGGCCATCTGCCCAGGGAGCGGAGGTACCAGCCGTGAGGTGATCATGCAGGGGAGCATGTGCATGTGGGAGCGTGTGTGCACTTGTGTGTGCTCACGTGTGTGGAGGGACGCAGGTATGAAGAGCCTGTGTGTTAAGTGCATGTGTTATCTGTTTGGGCACGTGTATGTAGGGGGTGGGGAGTGTGTGCAGGTGCAGGTGGGACAAAGGTGGCTGTGTGCCAGGTGTACTGAGGTGTGCACATGTGTGTGAGTGTGGAAATACATGCATGTGTGTATACCGATGCATGTGTGAATACTCTGTGTCTCAGGTGAGTCCTCAGCCACCTGTGATGAGCATGCAAATCCTATGCAAATGCGGGCTGAGTGAGAGCCATTCCCTCCCAGCCCTGCCTCCACCTCCCAGGCAGGTGGCCCAGCAGGTGCACAGCAGCCAAGCCCAGCAGACCCTGGCCCCCAGCACCGCCCACCGTACCTCTGTGCCGGGGGAAGGGCCTTTGCAGGGGCTCTGGCCTTGGTTTCCTGCTCCTTTAACTGTTAAGGGTGTCAGTTCAGACCCTGCTCTACACGCGCAAGCTGAGTGCCCTCAGGCAGGGACTGAACCTCCCTGAGGGTCCGTGTCTGCGTCTGTAAAACGGGAGAGCCGCGAGGTTCACTCCAGCTGAGGAGTCGCCGAGACGACCCTTTTCCCACTCAGAGCAGCTCCCTGTGGCCTCTGCAGACAGGCCGCCCTGAGCCCCGCCGAAGCCGGAAGCCACCACCTGGGGTCCACCTGCTGTGCCCCCCTCAGCCCATGCCCGGCCCCGGCCCCTGCCCCCTCTTTGCTTCTCTTTCCCTGCCTCCCCAGGTTTCATCTCTCAACCCAGAGGGACACAGCCCAGGGGGCACCACGCCTCACTGCACGGCTCCGGGGGCCTCGGAGATGGCACCCTCTGGAGCTGCGTGCTCCCTGGCCCTCCTCCTCACTCCAGGTCTCCACCTGCACCTCTGCCTCCCTGCCCGCCGTGTGTGTGTGTGTGTGTGTGTGTGTGTGTGTGTGTGCGCCTCCCTCCTGGACGCGGGGGCAGTGCCCACCCTCTGCTCCAATCAGCGCCCCCCTCGCCATCGTCTCTACCCTCCCCACCCCTGCCCTGCCACTGTCTCCACCCCCTACCACCACCGGCTCCACTCTCCCTATTCAAAGCTGCCTTCCTGCCTGCAGAGCCCGGCTCGAGGACTCCTCCTCCACGAAGCTCTTCCTGCCCGGGCAGCGTGGCGCGGTTGGCGTCGTCCCATACACCACAAAGTGGCGGGTTCAGTCCCCGGTCGGGCGCATATGGGAGGTAACCATCCATGTTTCTCTCTCCCTCTCTCTCTGCATTTTCACCGGGGCCTTTGTCAACCTACCCCGGGCGGCAGCATTTCCTGACTTGTCTCTGTCATCAATCCCCTGCTCACCCACTATCCCCGGAGCCCCCCCGAACAGAGCCGGGGTCTCCCCTCTTCAGCCAACCTCAGCGGAGCAGGCCAGAGCCTCCTGCTCATTGGACACCGTTCACACCTCCGTCCCCCGCACCCCCCCCCCCATCGTGACCAGGGGATGGGTCCTCGAGTCCCTCTCACTCCTCCGCCTCCCGGGCCGATTCCCCAGGCCCCCCTCGGCCTTCCCACCTTCCTCGGGGTCCAGTCCCAGCTGGGCCACCACAAACGGTGGTCCGCCCGGGAGCGTTTAAGCTGTGGGAGCCTCCGTGTTGTCAGAAGGTGAACCGAGATCCAGGAAACAGGAGCCCCGGGGCCCCACCCCAGCCTCCGCGGGGGCCGCTCACCCGGTAGTCGCTGGAGGTGACGTAGAAGATGGGCAGGAAGGCCAGCCAGATGATGCAGGTGGTGTACATGGTGAAGCCGATGAACTTGGCCTCGTTGAAGTTCTCGGGGCACTTGCGGGTCTTGAAGGCGTAGAGCGTGCAGAGCGCGATGAGCAGCACGTTGTAGGCCAGCGAGCCCAGCATGCTGGCGTCGCGGTGGTTGCAGCGCAGCGTCACCACCTCCCGCCGCTCCGGCGCCGTCTCCTTGCCCGTGCCCGGCGCCTCCACCACCAGCCAGGCCGTCACGATGAGCAGCTGCCCCGAGATGAGCGCCAGGCAGATGGCCACCTGCGAGGCGGGGCTGATGAAGCGCGGCCGCTGGGCGCCCTCGCGGGCGCCGCCGAAGATGCGCGCGATGCGGTTGGTCTTGGTGAGCAGGGCCGAGTAGCAGACGGAGAAGGCGGTGCCCAGGCCCAGGCGCCGCAGGGTGCACACGGCGGTGGAGGGCTTGGCCACGAAGACGAAGGTCATGCAGTAGCACAGGAACACGCCGCCCAGCAGGATGTAGCACAGCTCCCGGCCCGAGGCCTTGACCACGGGCGTGGCGTTGTGCCGCACGAAGACGCCCAGCACGAAGAGGGTGGCCAGGGCGCCCAGGCAGGCGATGGTGACGGGCCCCACGGCCCAGGCGTCGCCCCAGCGGATGTACTCCTGGGGCAGCTCGAAGCAGCCGGTGAGGCTGGCGTTGGGCCAGTAGCCCAGGCCGCAGTCCGCGCAGGTGAACTCGTCCCGCCGGTACTCGTAGGGCTGGCAGGGGATGCAGAGCCAGCAGCACACCTCGCCCGGCTGCACGCTCTTCACCTCGTTCCGCAGGCAGGGCTCGCTGCAGCGGGAGGCGGGCAGGGCGCCGGCCGAGGGCGCGGCCCAGGGGATGAGGCTGGCGTCCAGCGTCAGGCCTTCCGCCCAGTAGCCCACCTTCTGGTAGCGGTAGCGCCCGCTGCCCGCCCGCAGGTAGGTGAAGATGTTGTAGCGGCCGATGCCGTCGCCGAAGCGGTCGAAGCGGACCTCGCTGTGGGTGTCGGCCGGGCGGAAGGGGGCTGGGGGGCGGAAGGGAAAGAAGGAGAAGGGCCTGGAGAGGGCTGGATCGGTGGGTCATCCTGCGCGGAACCCAAACCCCAGAGCTGAGGCCTGTCCCGTCCTTCTGACCCTCCCCCTCACACACGCACACGAAAGCCGGCCCAGCCCCCCGCAGGTCGGCCGAATGAGAGGTTACAACAAACCCCAACCCTAAGCCCCAAGTAGACCCCAATCTTAAAGCCCAGGCATTACCACAACCTAAAGTCCACAGTGACCTCCAATCACAACTCCCCCAAACCCAGCCCCAGACCTAACCTCCAAACCAGGCCCCAACACACACCCCCTCTCCCCTAACTTAACCCCGAGACCCGAAAGCCGACCTGGGCCAAGGTCCAGTCCTGGTCCCACTAAATCCCCCCACTGACAACCCCAGCCCCAGCCCCAGCCTCGCCAGTCCTAACAGTGGGAGCTGAACCCCAACCTCAGTGGTCCCCTTAACCACTGAGGGTCCCCCGAATGTGCTTGGCAGGCAGCTCACAAATCACTTCTACACCCCGTGAACCTCAAGTCTCCCAGCCACACTCAGGGGGCAATTCCCTGGCATCCTGGGTCCCGGTGAGAAATCAGGGTTCAAGCAACAGCTGATGTGCTCGAGGCCCCGCGGGGAAGGGTGCAGCCTGGAGTCCCTGCAACCCCTAATCTTGCCTCCGGCCTCAGTGTCCTGAACACCAGCGCGAGCCCCCCTCCGTCCCACCGCGCCCCGCCGCGGCCCCGCACCCACATCCGCCGGCCCAGACCCTGATTCTCCCATCACTCCGAACGCCAATCTTGTTGGCACGGCTCCTCGTCCTGACCCCGGGCCGGGGCTCCAGGCTTTGCCAGCCCCGCAGCCCTCCCTGTCCCCCGGAATCCTTCCCGAAGCATTCACGTCCCTCAAAACTGGAACTTGTATTCGCATAACCTTTGGCTTGAGTGGAAAATCAAGGTTAGGAAGAGAAATTTCCCAGGAAAATGGAGTGGCATCGAGGCTCACTCTCAAGCCGCCCTCTTCTGACTCAGGCCGGTTCGCTGCCTGGGAACAGGCTCGGGGGCTCCCAGTCCCTGCGCCCGGCGTGTAAAGGGGCGGGAGCGGGAGGGAGGCGCCCCCAGCAGGAACCAGAGACTCTCTAGTGCAGGGCCAGCCAGACGCCCCCTCTCCCAGGGGGTCTCAGCAAGTGGAGGCTCGTCCTGGCTCCCGGGTCCTCCCTGCCTCCCATCCCTGTCCCGGCAGGGACCCCGGCGAGTCCCTTACTTGCTGTTGGCTATTTTCATGGCCAAGCCATGGACCCCAACCCATGGGCCTGCTCCCCTCGCCCTTGGCCGCCAGCCGCCAGTGGGCGCCGCCAGCACCATTACCATCGAACTTGACGTTGAGCACAAAGTCCTTGTAGAGGCGCCGCCCGCTGACGGGCCGCATGGCGTCGCAGAGGCGGGTGGTGTTGGGGCAGAGGGCACGGTGCATGTTGTGCAGCGCGTGGGCCATGGCGTACACGGCGTTGACCACGAACATGATCTTGGACTCCTGCTCGAAGGGCGCGGCCCGCAGGGAGTGGGCCGCGCAGTCCCGCCGCCGGAGGCTGCAGCGGAACCTCTGCTCCCAGAACTCGCGGAACCAGGGGTTGCGGCTGTTGTTCCAGGGGTCCAGGCCGCGGAAGTAGGCGGCGAAGTCGCCGATGGGGTAGGAGGCCAGCTCGATGGTGATGGCGCCCTCGGCGGCCCCCTCGCTGCCGGCCACCACGCTCTCCAGGGCCCCCCAGCCGTCGCTGGCCACCCAGGTGAAGCTGGCGTTGAGGCGCTGGGCGGCGGCCAGCAGCTCGCGCGCGTCCTCCGAGCGGGCGAACAGCACGGCCACGCGGGCGCTGGGCTTCAGCAGCAGCGAGCGCACCACGCCCTCGAAGGCCGCGCGGCTCATGGCGCGGCCCACCTTCTCCGAGGTGGCCACGCAGATGTTGCGGGCGCGGGCCTCCAGCTCGAAGGCCTCGATGCCCGTCTCGCCGTAGTCGCCCTCGGACGCCACGGTGGACACGTAGGTCCAGTTGAAGAAGCGGAGGATCTCGGCCATGGCCTTGGCCTGGAAGAAGTCGGGGGGCACCGTGCGGGCAAAGTAGTCGTAGCGGGACTTGTCGCTCAGCTTGGCACTGGTGGACGCGTAGCTGATCTGCGGGATCTGAAACAGCCGCAGGAGGTTGGCCACCTGGGGGAGGGGGGACAGAGAGGGCAAAGGTCAGAGGCAGAGGTGTCCCCGCAGCTCTCCGACCTCGGGATCAAGTGTTCACGTGGTCGGCCGTGAGGTCACCCTCTCCCCAAAGACCCGGATCCTGTGTGCCGTGGCGTCCCCCACCGGGGACGGGGAGAGGGAAGACCCGGGCCGAGCCCAGGGCCCCGAGCCACCCCTGAGCTCCTCCGCTGCCCCCCTCAGACACATGGCAGTCGCAAAAGTGGGAGCCAAGGGAAGGCCCAAGCCGTGGGCGGGGAGAGGTTGGCGCTTGGCTGCACAGGGAGGAGGAAGGCGCCAGATGGCATCGGGGATGCTCAGGGCTCTCACGCCCTCTACCTGTCTGGGCAGTTAACCTTCCCAGATCAATCCCGGTGGGATGATGGGGAAAGAAGGAAGAGGCTTCCCAGGAAGGAAGACCCAGATCTGAGGGCCCCCATGGCCCTGAGAGCCCACGGGTGGGTCTCCTCTGGGCACCGCCGGCTGCCCCGCAGCCCCTCGCCCACCCCCCACCCCCCGGTGGCTTGGACCTGCCCCGACAGTGCTGTCTCGCCAAGGACCTGGGGGGTTGGGGGCAGGTGAGAGCAGGAGAGGCTCAGGGTCCGAAGGAGGAGGCCCAGGAGACCAGGGGACCCTCCCCACCCCCACACATTCTGCTTCTCTCCCGCCGTTTCGCTCCTCAGGGCTGCTCCTGGCTTCTATCTCCCACCCCTTTCCAATCCGCAGAGATGACCTAGCACAGTGATGGCAAACCTATGACACGCGTGTCAGAGGTGACACGCGAACTCATTTTTTTGGTTGATTTTTCTTTGTTAAATGGCATTTAAATATATAAAATAAATATCAAAAATATAAATCTTTGTTTTACTATGGTTGCAAATATCAAAAAATTTCTATATGTGACACGGCACCAGAGCTAAGTTAGGGTTTTTCAAAATGCTGACACGCCGAGCTCAAAGGGTTCGCCGTCACTGGTCTAACAGATCCCAGGCCCTTGGCTGAGAGCCCCAGGTTCACATCTCCACGTTGCAAGGGCCTTGGCGTATGGCTGCCTCTCTCCGGTCTCAGTTTCCTCACCTATGAAATGGGTTAATCATAACAGCAGCCAGTACTGACTATGCCCTTCTGACCCGCCAGCCCCCGATACATGCTGGGCATGTATTACTTCATTAAATGCCCACCACAACCCTATGCCCCGTGAGTCCCGCTTTATAAGGGGGAAACTGAGGCACAGGAGAGCGAAGTGGTGCCCAGAGTCACGCAGTGAGTGGGGGGCGGTGAGCCGGGATTCAAACCTGGAGCTCTGACTCCAGAGGCCTGGCTATTGCCTCCTCAGGGCTGTTTAACCTCATGTGTGTGGGGTGGGGTGGGGTGGGTGACGGGAGTGTGATGTTTTCCCTGCACAATCTCTACAACTGGCCCCCCGCCCCCCATGAGATGGGGCACTTTCTCAGTCCCCCGTTAAAAGCCACTCCCAGGAAGCTTCTAGTTCCTCCTCCAGGGCAGGGCAGCCCAGAGCCCTGCTCAGTGGGAATCTGTCTCCAGCCTCAGTTTGAGCAGTCCCCCCCCCCTCCCCAATACCTGGATGGAGACGTCACTGTAGGAGCCGCCGATGACACCCGTGACGGCAGTGGGAGCATCGTCGTTGGTGGCATAGGAGCCGTCGGGGCAGACGTGGCGTGAGCCGTCGGCGCCCCGGCTGAGCGAGGCGCGCACGAAGTCCAGGGCCTGCTCCAGGGCGTACGTGTCCTTGGAGCAGGTGTCCAGTATGTGCGCGCCCAGGCGCACGCCCGGCAGCAGGCGCGGGTCGCGGTTGATGCGGTCCAGCGCGAACAGCATGGCCTCCAGGCGCTGGATGCCGCGGTGCTCGTTGACCGGCCCGCACTCCTCGGCCGGGCCGCCCTTCTGGTGCACGGGGAACAGCCCGCCCAGCACCAGGTCCCCCTCCAGCGTCAGCACCTTCTTGGCCGGGCCCTCGGCCCCAGCGCCCCACAGCAGCAGTGCCAGGAGTCCCAGCAGTGCTCCCATGGCCCCAGAGCGGGTGGGTGGGCCCCGCAGACCTGAGCCTCCAGGGGGTGAGGGCAGAAGCAGCAAAGGCAGGTTTTGAGGGGGAGAGGAGGAGCAGGAGCGGACAGATAGGAAGCAAGAGGAGAAGGGGCCCGGCTCCTGCAGAGAGAGACAGACAGACAGACAGACAAGAGAGAAGCAGAATCTGAGAGCGGCTACCCCTTCTGACTCTGCCTCCCCCAAACCACTTCCCAGGCACTCAGGAGCCAGGGAGGGGTGATGTCACTGACGAGGCTAGCAGCTCCTGGACACCCCTGGCCTGTCTCTCAGCCCTGCCCTGAGCTGGGGCTGGAGGTGGGCCCTGTGTCTATTCCAGGCTCAGCAGAGAGGGCGGGAGATGGCACAGGAGACCCCAGCCAACACCCATCTCACCGCAAATCGAAGAGCGTCCCGGACCCTCACAAACCTCCCAGGACCCCAAGGTCAACAACTTCACAGCAGAGACCAGATGCCACTTACAGACGGGCCCAGTGCCACCCCGAGGCATGGCTTTCCTGGCGGGGCCCTGCTGGCTGCGAGCCCGCCCGGGAAAAGGGTGTTCGTCTCCAGCTCCTAGGCCGGCTGGCGCCCAGGTGAGCCCCAAGGGTCCTACGTAGCCTCTGGTTCTGCAAAAGCCACCCCGAGCCCCCTCCCTGGGGGAGTAAGAGAGACCCCGGGCACTGCAGTTGGGCAGCCAGGAGGCCCCAGGGAGGGACGCCCAAGTGGCCCCGGTCCTAAGGCAGCAGGGGGTGTAGATGTGAGGGTGCCTGTGTCCGTCGGGTGGGGACGGCTCGTCTGGTCCGAATCTCACAGCCATGCTCAGGGCGAGGCTTTCCCACCTGAGCTCGGCGCTGAAGCTGAGACTTTGCCTCCGCTTCCTCCCCAGCTCAGAGCCCAGGAGAGAGTCATGTCTCCAGCCTCCCCACCCTCAGTCAGGGTCCTGTCCCCCCCGGCCCAGCCCTCTCCCCCTGTACCCGTCACGTGCCAGCTGCCCTCCCAGACCCCTGCCCCGCACTGGCTCACGCAGTCACGCAGCCTGGGGAGCTGGGAGAGGGGGCCTGAGCCTGAAGAAGGGCAGCAACTCGTTCCAGGACCCAAGTCCTGGCCACGGAGGCTGAGCACGGCCCTCTGCCCCTCACCTCCCCAGGGCTGACCTGCTGCTGGTGCCAGGGTGGGGGACTGGGGTCCTGTGGGGGCCGAGAGGGAGGGGAGCAGGGACCCAGATGGGGGCTGAGGCCCAGACCTGTCAAGACCACGAGCCTCTTACAGGGGCGCCAGGGACCGAACCCCCAGAGGAGACAGACCCTGCAAGCAGGCAGCCCCCGGGGCCTGGGCCCCAAAATCCGGACAGGGAGCGATCCAGCCCGAGAGGCTGAGACAAAGATAGAGGCACAGACAGAAAGACGGACCAAAGGACGGAGGAGCAGGGGAACGAAGCGAGGGACGAGGGAGCGCCGTGCAGGGCGAGCGTTTCCTGGGGAAGGAAGGCGGGACGCCTGGGGCTGTCTTCCCGCTTCTGGGTGCCCCGGCAGGGACGGGGCGCCCCGAACTCGAGGGCCCGCGGGATTCCGGGACGTGGGGTCGATGCAGGGGGCTGCAGCCACGGGCTCACCCTACCTGCGCGCCCGGTTCTGGCGCGGAGAGGAACGGAGAGAAGCCGGGGGCGCGGGATCGGGCTCCCACTCGCTCGGTCGCTCGCCCGCTCGGCGGCTGTGAGCTCTCCGCCCGCTCGCCCCGCCGCTTTCAATGCTGCCGCCCCGCCCCCGGCCGGCCGGCCCGCCCCGGCCACTCCCCCGTCCCTCCCCACTCCTACCTCCCGCTCCCACCCCGCCTCCGCCCCCCAAGACTCTCCACCCCTGCGCCGCCTGCTCGGGCTCCCGGCCGGGATGCCGCCCGGAGCTGTCCGCCTCGCGGTGCTGAATCCTCGCCGCTCCCGCCAGGCGCTGAACCCGGCCCTTGGCCCCCTCCGCCCCGCGGTCACATCCGCTCCAGGGAGCCGCGGGCAGGGGGCGCAGGACTGGGAAAGTCACTGAGCCCCAGGAGGAGGGCAAGCCTAAGGGTTCCCACCTGCGAGGGCAGTGGGGCTGGCCTGGGGTCGCGGGGTGAAGGGGCAGGTGGGAGAAGGGTCAGGGCTTAGACAGGTCTGTCCCTGTCCTCACATCCCCCCCCCCCACACACACACACACACTCGGGGCGGGGGCATGTGTCTTCAGCCCCATGTGGAGCTGGGGCCTGAGTCACTCGGAGGAAGGGATGGGGGGGGGGGCGGTCAGAGGAGGATGGGGCCTCCTCTTCCTTCCTGCAGATGACCTTTAAGCTGCTAGCTACCCCCCCATCCCCCAGCCCTGACCCCCACAGCAATCCTCACCCTCATGTGCAAAGGGGGAGGGGGTACTGCAGGCCAGGGACTAGGTCCACCCTGAGGGACACGCTGGTGCTGGCAGGGGCACCTGGGAGGGAGAGGACTGGGGAAGAGGCTCCTGAAACAGGCGGCCACGTGGGAGGGAACGGGCTGGCGCCTGAGCAGAGGGAGGACAGCTCTGGACCCTCCTCCGGCAGCAGAAAGGGGAAGGCGGCCCAGGTACCGGCCCAGGGCCGCACGGGGGACAAGCTGCAGCGCCAGCCTGTGCTGACGGGCTTGGGGAGGGGCCCGTGGGCACAGGCACTAACACGTGCGAGGAGCACGGCATCCCCACCCGCTCCCCTGCTGCCCTTTCTTCCACAGGTGTGAGCAGAGGCAAGGCTCGCTCAGACACATGCTAACGAGCACATGCCAAGCCCAGGCCCTCAGGCACACGCATCTACGCGTGCGTGGCAGTTGGGGGTGGGGGGGTGTCGGCACGGAAGGACAGGTTTTGCCTCGACACAGAAACCTGATGCCCCACTGCTCTGGAAAGAACACAGCTGTGAAACAGACAAACACATCAAACCCCAACCAACAACTCCATGGCTGACGGGAGGCGATGGGGCAGCGGGTGCGGGTTCAGAGCTGTCAGACAGGCTGCGGAGGGAGGCAGGCTGTCTTCCCGCTCCCGCTGCTCTCACCTCACCTTGCGGGCTGGCTCAGGGACTGCTCCCTGGGGTGGGTGAGCAATGGGCCAGGCCTGAGCAGAGCGGTTGACAGCAGCAGGACGCTGAGGTGAGAGGAGCCGCACAGCAATCCCAGCTCGCTCAGCAGGCGGCCTCACAGAAGACGCCGGGTGTTAAACGCAGCGCCCGCCCCATGGCAGGGCCCCCGACAACGGGCTGCATGCGCTGCACGGTCCCACGCAGCACACGGACACGCAGTTACACACCCAGCCCTACGGAGCTGCACATGTGGACGCAGTCATACGTAGCAATACATGTAAACCCAAACACTGTGCTGTACATGCAGATACAGCCATAACATACAGCTTTATTTATTTGTTTTTAATATATTCTTATTGATTTCAGAGAGGAAGGGAGAGATAGAAACATCAATGATGAGAGAGAATCACTGATCGGCTGCCTCCTGCAGGCTCCCTGCTGGGGATCGAGCCTGCAACTTGGGTTTGTGCCCTGACCCTGAATTGAACTGTGACCTCCTGGTTCATAGGTTGATGCTCAACCATAGTGCCATGCCAGCTGGGCCATAACACACAGCTTTAAATGTGGACACACATATATAGCTGTACACATGGACACAAACATATGGTCATACAGCACGTCATGAATAATAGAGCCACCCCTGAGGCTCGTTTAAGCTGCCCTCTGCCCTGTGTGGACACACACAGCTGTATTCACACAGACACACAGAAAAAGACAACTGTACATGTCAACACACAACCACACACACAGCGGTCCAGACACAGCCACACACAGAGAGTAGCGTGTGGAAAAAGCCCCCAGTGATGCTCCCAGCAGCCAGCCTCACACCGGTCACACACAGCCATCCACACGAACACAGCCACCTCCAGCACATCACACCCTCATGCCCACTTGGCACAGCCTCCCCAGCAGACCCATCCATGGTCACACACAGAATCAAAAGCACGAGCACGTGTGCACACGCACAGGCAGGCACACAGACGCGGGCGGGCACAGCAGGGACACCTCACCTGCGGGGCAGATGCCAGCATGAACACAGGCCCACTCGAGCCACAGACACGAATGCTTCCCTTGCAGGCAGGTGAAGGCAGGCTGTGAGCTCCCCACTCCTGAGCCCGGGGGCACCCTGTGCCCAGTTCCCACACCCCTCGTCCTGCTCTCCAGCAGCTGGGGAACCTCTGGCACTGCTGCAAGGGAGGGGCAGCTGCGCTGGGGCCACAGAGCAGGGAGTGGAAGGCCTCCCGGACTCCTGTCTGCCCCCCACCCCAGGGTGCTGTCCCCCCTTCCTCTTCTTGGGCTGGGGGTGCTCCTGCCCACTCCCTACCTATCTGCACAGGACTCCCCAAGGTAGAACACACACACACAAATGCACAGCACAATCCCAGGTGAAACAATAAAGTCTTTTGCTTTATTCTGGTTCCTGGAAGCTCCAATGTGAATCTGAAAAAGATGTAACAGAGCAGCAGCCCCGGGATGGGGGCAGGGAGCAGTCCCTGCTCCTTTGCCCTGGAGCCAGAGGGCAGTGAGGACAGGGCTTAGCTAGAGGCCGGGGTCGAAGTAAAGGTCCCCTGAGACCCCTGGCCCTCGCCCGGGCCCCGGAAGGTGGAGGAGGAAGGAGGCTGAAGAGTCCGGTCCCGTTCCTTTAGTGACTGCAGCACAGAGGAGGGGGCCACGGGCTACTCCTCGCCTTTTTCAGGGGTACTGAGCTCCCGGGGCCACTTGGGAGCTCCAGGGGCTCAACCTCAGGGCTCAGCCTGGGCTCCCCCAGGGGTCCCTCGCCCTCCAGGTCCAGCTCCTCAAAGGATGAGCCGCTGGCGCCCGACTCGCTGTAGCTGTGCTCACTGCGGGTGTCACTGTCGTCCCAGCTGCGGCTGCTCACCCCTGGGGACAGTGTGGCCGCCGACGTCTCCCGACTGCCAGGACCCACCTCCAGGCTCACAGAACTCGCATCGCTCAGCGTGTCAGCTCCTGGGCCAGGAAGAGGGAGCGCAGGTTAGCCAGAGAGAGGACAGAGCTCGCCCACCAGCCCAGCCACTCAGCCTACACTGTTCATGAATAATAAAGCCAGCCTGGCCCAGGAGGCTCATTCCAGCTGCCCTCTGTCCTCTGCCCTCTGCCCTGACCCGCTGCACTGACAGGGCAGAGGGAGCAAGGAGGAAGGGGGGAGGGCAGCCTCTGCGCACACCTCTCCCTACCCTGAATTAGCCTCAGCTCCCTGCATTCCCACAAAGCCTGCCCCCTCCCCAACAGTCCATTAAGGATCACTGGGCCCTGAGGTGAGAAGCTGAGGGTAGAACAAAGAGACCAAATTGATGCCCCCCCTCCACCCCCATTTCAGGCTTGGAGAGAGGTTTGTCCAAGGCCAGGGACTGAATGTTACCCAGAAGGCATGAGGACGGGAGACTGTGCCCCTCCCCCCATGGAGGGCCCCCAAGGAGCAGCCACATGCAGGAAGTCAGCTGGCCCCTGCCTCTGGCCCCTAAGCCTGACCGGAGGAGGAGGAGGCAGCGGGCCGGAGAGCGATGGAGTCCTGAGGAATCCTCTCCTGGCTGTTTGAAGGAGGGTGCTGGGAGGAAGCACTTTGGGGCTCTCTTCTCCTATGCCCAGGTCACCCCAGGAGGGCCCTTACCTACCCCAACCACTGGTGGTTCCTGAGCCACAAAGCAGGAGGGGACCGCGAGAGCACTCTGCTGGCAGCTGGGAGCCCGAGACAGTGCTGCACGGGGCTGCGGGGGTCGTCCCCCAAGCCTGCTCCTCCACCCCCCATGCGCTCCAGGCAAGCAGCCCTTCATCTGCCCTAAGAGCAACCCCTCAATTCATCTCCCAGATCAGAGGCACTGACCACAGCTGGGGTGGCGAGGAGGGCAAGGCTCAGGCCCACCGTGTGCGGACCCGGACTGAGAGGAAGCTGACAGGCCCTCTCCTGCGTGAGAGGGAGGGGCGGCTGTCCAACATCATAGAAGGTGAGGGGGGCAGCGTCCCCAGATCCTGTCTCCATAGTGACGGAGCCCAGAGCCAGGCGCAGCTGGGACTGCCTGGCATTTGGACTTGGCCTGGAACTCTGATTAAGCCTCAGCTGGAGCCCAGGGTGGGATGGGAATTTGGGGTCTGCCCTCCTCGTCCCCTTGGCCCCAGGAAAATGTCCTCTGGGCCCAGGGCAGAGGTGCAGTGAGCCCTGGAGGGACCAGGCTGCTGGCCCAGCGCCTTCTTCTTGCCAGGGCCCCAGTCATGGCTCTCCTGGTACAGGCATTCAAGAGGGAGCCCAGGCCACGCCCTGATTTAGGGGTGGTCCCCTCTGACCTGGGTCAAGACTCCAGCCCCTCATTGCTCCGTAAATAATGATGAGCACCCAGGCTGCAGGCCTGAAAGGAGCTAACGAGGAGGCCCCATTAAATTCTCCTGTTCTTCCCACGCACTGGCTCTCTGGGGACCAGGGCATGGAAATCTCTCCTGCTCCTGGGGTGGGAGTGGTCAGGGAAGGAGCCCAGGGGAGCCTGGGATGTGGGGACGCTCCTGGCAAAGGAGCACAAGGCAAGGAGTCAACACCCCACCTCCCTCCCCAGGGCTGCTGGGGCAGAGACGAAGCTGCCACCTTCACCCCAGGCCCCCTCCTCCGCTGCCCACAGCCAGCGCAAGGCGATCAAATAGGCATCGCCTCCCTGGAGCTGAATAATACATCAATGTAATCACAGGCACAGGCAGCTAATCACCCCTCACCTCCCAGCCCAAGAGGGGCCCAGCAGGGAGGCAGGCGGGACAGGCCAAGCCTTGGGCGGCCAGGCTCCCAACATGCACTGCTATGCAAGTGGCCTGCACCTGGCGTCAGGGCAGACCCTGTCAGAGGGGAGCAGACCCCTCGGCCTCCACACCAGGGAGTGGGCGGGCAGGCTGGTGGGAGGACGGGCCCAGGCGCTAGGGGCGTGGGAGCGCTGGCTGCAGCCAGCTGTAGTGGGTGCCAAGCAGTTCCTGGCAGGTGGTGTTTGGGAGGGAGGTTGGGTAGGTGGGCCAAAAAAAGGGGGAGAGGCAGCAGAGGGGGGGTCAAAGGAAGGTCAAGGCACTGCCCCTTCCTGCCTGGGGACTGCCTGGGCCCGCTGACCTTGGGCCACATCCTGTGCCCAGTGAGGGCATGGAGCGTCTGCCAGCACCACAGGAGGGTGGGAGTGCCCCATGGAGGTAATTAAGCGGCAGATGAAGCTAACTGTGCTGGACGCAGCCCCTAGGGAGTGGACTGCCTCCCACACCCCACCCCCAAAGCTCAGGCCTCTCCAGGTGACCTTGGCTGCTGAGGGACCGACAGAGGGAGTGTCCTAAAGGGTATGAAGAGGGACAGCCACTCCTCCCGCCTGCACCACTCCCACAGGGGCTGGACCTCCAGACCCACACGAGGCTCCATATTCATGACCAAGGGTCAGAGCCCTGGGACCACTTGGGATGTTCCCAGCAGGTCTTCTCACCCTTGGGACAGTTCACGGTCATAAGAGGTCATGGCAGGAGGGTGGGCTGAGGACCGGCACACATCCTCTGGCCTGGACCTGGGTCTGAGGGCTGGCTCTGCTGGGAGGGGCCGGGTACCGATCCCCTGGCCCCTCTGCACGCTTTCTGGCTGCTCCTTGGCAGGGAGAAAGCAGCCGGCTCTGGGCGGGTGTACTGGGGGCAGGAGAACACCTGTCCGTTTACCTTCCAGATCCAGTGCCAACCTTATTTCCTGGTGAGCCCCACCCAGGCCCCCAATGGCGCCTTTCCTGAGCACCTCAGCCCCTCCCACGCGCATCCAGCTGTCCGTGAGCTGTTTCCAAGGGCACTCCTGTCGCACCGGAAGGGAATCAGGCAGAATCTTGTACCTGTGTTGCCAGGGGTAACATGGATGACTCTACACCTACATGGCCCCACGTGTCTGGGAACAGCCAATTCTGCCTGTGGGTCCCGGGTGGGCAGGTCTTCTTCCACCTCGGCCAAGCCTCACCTGGACACCCACAGGCAGCCCACGTGCCCAGAGTAGGGCTCCAGGCAGGCCCACCTCGCTCCCCTGCCCTTGTACCTGTGCCATCCATCTGGGCATCACTGGCCTCCGCAGGCCCCCGGCCTTTCCGCTCTGTCTCCTTCACCTCAGGCACATAGAAGTCTCCCTGCCGGGCCAGCGGGCACATGAAATAGATCTGGTCTTGCTGGTAGATCTCCAGCCGAGGGTGGGCACACAGCTTCCGCTCCTGCCAGAGAGGGACAGAGGAGTGAGCCCGGCACGGCCTCTTGTCCCTGAGTGGCTGCTCTGCCTCGGGCCCCAATCTCCCTCAAGTTCCCAACCCCACACTCGGGGGGCAGTGGTCCAAGGACCCAGGAGTCCTTGGGACAATACCCTGGACAAGTGCTCAGAGAGCCCAGGAGCCTGTCACTGAATCCTGAGTGCAGGGCTGGGACCAGAGGCCGTACCAGAAACCCTGGTCTCGCAGCCACGCAGCCTCGCGCCTCACACCACCACACAGGGGCCCACGAACCATGGCCTGCGGCACCCAAGCCAAGCCAAGCTCTGACTTGCCAGACTGTCTCTCCCAGGACCCCCTGCCCTGACCTCCTCCCCACCCTGGACAATAGTGACTGACCCACAGAGACCAGGAGAGGCCAGTGCCCTGTCCTTACAGACGTGTTACTGACAAATCCCGGACAGGGCTCCAGGCCAGCTGAGCCTAAGCCCCTCTTCCAGTCCCGTTGCCCTGCAAGTCCAGGTCCATGCCAGCCCGAGACTGTAGCTGTGGTGGCTCCCAGACCTTCCTGCTCCCGGGCTCAGAGTTTTAGCCGAGGGGGAGGAGCCAGACCCTAGGCTGGAGAGGCAGGCAGGACAAGTAGATCTAACACCGGACATTACTCCAGCTCCCCAGTGGGACCCATGTTCTGAGACAGGCACTCCCCTCCCCTCTGCCTGGACCCAGGCCCTAGGCTCCCCGTCCGTCCCTCGGTGTGGGTGGAAGGGGCACAGACAGATGCCCGAGTGCCCTGAGGCGGGAAACCAGGACAGGGCCAAGTGCATCTGCTCCTGAGCCCGCCCCTCCCTGCGATGGAGCACCATCACCACTGAGATGACCGGAGGCTCCTGCCCTGCCACTGCTCCCCACCAGCCTTCACAACATGGCTATTTATAGCGCCTGCCGGCTCTCACCACGAGCTCTGAAATGAGCCTTCCACTCAGCAGTAATGAGAGACCCGGCGGCCGGCGGGCAGAAGCCACTCCAGGACTCCACTTGTCCGCCTGCTGGCCGAGCCCAGGCTGAGGAGCCCCCTCCAGCTAAAGCACATGAAGAGGAGAGAGAGAGGGGGAGTGAGGCTGAAAGTGCCGGGGAGGCCTGTGTCCTGCGTCCCCTGCTCAGACGCAGAGTGGGACAGCCGAGCCCTCACTCCTCCAGGGTCAGTGAAGGAAAGTCATTATTTTTAATAGTTTGAGCCAATCTTTTCTGCCAACCTGGGTGCTCTCTGGGCCATCTCACGGGCCATGCCCCGAGCTCCTCCCATCTCTGAGTACACGGATGGCTGCCTCGCTTCTCCACCCGCCCACACACTCACTGCCCTGGCCCCCAGGAGGAGGCTGAGCAAGGGCACTTCAGGCAGCAGGAGCGACCAGGCTTTGGGACCCTTCCAATGCCAGCACTTGGGGGGCATCTGCCAAACCTGAGCCCCTCTCGGTGAAATGGGCCGTCACCAAGGCCAGGGTGGCTCCTGAAGAAGGTCCCGGTCCCTTCCTGGTAGCCAGAGGGAAGCAAAGAAAAAAGGGCCCCCGGACCCAATCAGGTCATGGCCTTCACCAGCAGCCCCATGCTCTGGGCCTTCAAAGGGTCCACAGGGAAATGCCTTAGTGGCCATCAGTCACCTGGTGGCCCGTCTCTAAGGGGCTGTAGACAGCTGGCTTTGGGGGATGCCCCTGGAACCAGAGCCTGTGCTCACCCAGAAACTCCAAGGATAGTGGAGCTCTACCCCTGCCTACACTCGAGCCTACTTAGCGTCCCTTCAGGAAGTAACGGGGATGTTAAGAGGGAAGAGTGCTCTTCCTACCCTCCTTTCTAAGCTGGGCACCAGGGTGGGCAGCGCCAGGCAGCCACCTTTGCCACCTGCTCTGCCAGCCCCCTCATTGGCAGGCAGGAGGCAGCTCTGTGGCTGCTCTGCGCATCTGCCTCCGCCAGAGAGCCGGGCTCTGAAGTTGCCTGGCTGTGGACAGCCCTGTTGCCATGGAGACTGCATCCTCCATCCTTGCCGTCGCCTTCATCTCAAAGCCATTGGGGAGAACAGACGAACAAGGGAGACAGAGGAGGGAGAGAAAACTGTGGCCTGGCTACACAGCCCCTCCTTCCCTGCCCAGCCCTCCCTCCTCACAGCATCCCATGCAGGAAGCACCAACTGCCCAAGCCTGCCCCAGGCCTCTGGAGGGGCAGCCTCATACCCAAGCACAGCCACCACCTGGAGACCCCTGGCACTCCCTGTTGGCAGAAGGTGCGAAGCTCATTGAAACCTCATTGACAGCTCAGCCCCAAGTCATTTTAGCACATGCTGGGCCTGTCAAAATTCAGACGCAGGGGCTTGAGGAAGGCAAAGGCACAAACTTCCAGCCCAGGCCCACAGGCAAGGGTCGGGCTTAGCAATGTCCCCGCAGCCTCTCTGTCCACTGAGCAGCAGTGAGTCCAGTGGTGGCTGGGGATGGAGGGTGCAGGACAGGACTAGCCACAGGCCCCGTCCCTAAGTGATCAGGCAGGGGACCAGGCCTTTCCCTCCCGGCCTCTGAGGGAAGAGGGGCCACTCTCAGGTCCTCGCTGCTCAGCAGGAGCTGTGGCCCAGGCAGCATGTCCACGAGCTGGTGACTATAGGAAACCAGTGAAGGAAGGAAGGGCAGCTGCCTCCCCCTCAGCCAGCCCCTGGGAGCCCTGGGAGAGCAGACTGCCAAGAGCCAAGGACACGAGGTCAGGGCCACGCTGGCTGGTACTGCTGGGGAAGGGGCCTGAAGTCCTCCCGGCCCGGGCACCCCTGCCCACAGCCAGACAGCCAGAGGCTTGAGGACGCGTCACTGGGACATCTGATGAGGCCACCACCCAGGGCAACCCACTCCCACACACAGTCTCAAGGGGACCACGGGGCCCTCCAAGGTGGGAGAGATGCAGGCTGGCAGGGTGCGCCCCAGCTGACAGAGAACAGTCAGCCAAGCAGGCCCAGGCGCCAGCAGGAGCTCCTGGACACGACGCAGGCGCTCTGGTCCCTGAGACTCACCTCCAAGGTTCCTTCCCTCCTGGACTTCCCACAAGCAGAGACAAAGGGGGGCCTGGGACACAGGGGGGTTTCCGGGAGACCTCACTTCCCACCCCCCACCCCTGCACTCACACCGGCTCCCTCACCAGGAGCGCTGGCAGACAGGGAAGGAGCAGGGCACCCAGGCCACCACAGTGCCACTGCCCAGCTACCTTGGGGACACACCACACTTCCTTGCCTCAGGAGGTGCTCACGTCCGAGTTGGGGGCAAGCATTCAGCCCACGCAGCATAGGGCTCCTGCGAAGGGGCTAACCTGGCATGCTGGCCAAGGTTTCCCACAGGCCCCACAGTGCCTCCCCTGAAGTTCTTACGGAATTAGGGGAGGGAGGGTGGAGGGGAGAGAGAACTACCTGAATTACCCTCATCTGATGGTCTACTTCAGCTAGGGTGGGGGTAGGTGAGGGTAGATGCCACCCCCAGGTAACCTAGAAGCTAAGTCTGCTCAGAGCTAAGTGACCTCAAATCCCCCAAAGGACGAGACATTGGGTGCAGGCCCAGGACTGGGTCACACATCTCCTACATGAGCTCTAGACCCAGGAGGGGATGAGGTCAGCTCCTTCCGCCTCCAGACAACCACAGCCCCTGACCACCGGCCTCAACGGGGTGAGGGCCCTGGCCCTCCCTGTTCATCCTGAGCTGCCCAGTCCTACCGCCCCTCCACACCAGGCTGGGCAGCCACACAGCCAGCGCACAGCTGCTGCATCGCACCTGAGGTGGTGGCATCTCCGCACTGGGTGAAGTGAGGCATGCTCATTTTTAATTACACAGACACCGACGTGCACCCGCCTGCACGCAGCGGTCCCTGCAAGTGGGGGCTCCGGCCCTGGAGGCCCCTTAGGCAGCTGGTCTGTATCTCACATGCAAAGTGATGCAAAGCAAGGGGGGAGGGGGGAGGGGGGAGGCGTAGCAGGGCTGCTGCTGGAAGGTGGCACGTTGTTATTATTCTGCCCGGGAACTTCTGTCAACTTCCCCCTCCCTGACTCCCTCTCATCCCCACCGGGCCTCCCAGCAGCCTCTGGCCAAGAACCTCAACCTGTACGTGGGGCCGGCCATGACAGCAGGGAGAACGTGAGAAGCGCTGGTGAGCTCCCTCCCCTCTGCAGCAGGAGGGCCCAAGGCTCTGAAAATGACAAGCAAAGGAGACAGGAGTGCTGCCAAGGAGGGCAGAGAGAGGGCAGGAAGGGGTCGAGACTAGACGGTAGCAGGAGCCTGAGCCTTGGCCTAGCTCCTGACAGATGGGTGGCTTCTCTCTGGATCAATCCCCCAACTGTAAGATAAAGAGATCGAAACAAAGGATCTCAAAAGAAGTGAGGAGTTGGGAAAGATGAGTAAAATACCATTACTTACAGATAAGGCAACTGTATACTTGAAAAACCCCAGAAGAATCAATGGAGACACTACCACAAACATCAAGGCCACTAAGTTCACAAAAGCACAGCCTTTCCTGTGCATCAGCCAGACGGAAAATATAATGGAAGTAAGAGCTGAAGGCGCTTGGGACGCGCTAGCCCCGGTAACCTGGAGCCTGGGAAGACTGAGAAAGGGGAGCGTGAGGGAGTGGGGCGCTCGCTGTGCCTACTGCTGCCACTGCCTGAGACTTTTCATTTTCACCTCAGAGCCGGCAGCGTGCCATGCAATTTACACCTCTGCTCATATTCCTGCACCCAGGGCCACGAGGAGGGCCTCAGGGGCGATAGAGACCAGGGTGGGCTGGGGCACCGAGGAGCAGGGGAGGGTGATTCGCTGAGTAGGCGCAGGGGACTCCAGCCCTTAAGCACCCCAGAGCCTGGGTGGCTGGGAAGCCATCCCCAGGCCCCGCATCTCAGCCCTGCTCTGGCTTCCCTGGGCCTGTGTGGAGCAGGACCAGAGGGCTGGGGAGCATGTGGGGGAGAGCCCCATAGGGAGCTGGGGGCGCAGTCCTGGGAC